CTACCTCAGACTCCTGAGTGCTGGGATTACAGGCGTGTGTCACCATCCCCAATGTTCAAATAAGATTTTTATTGCATTTATTTTATGGCAAATTGCCAAGGTTCATTCTTTCAAGATAACCTACTTTTGTGCCTGACTTTATAACCTATTTTTGAGTCTGGCAATTGTGTCTCTTATTGTAATAAAAATGTTTTAATTTAAACATTTACTATATATCTTGATCATCCTTTGTGCTTAGTGTAGATACCTGCTTAGCATAGCACGTTACAGCTCTGAAAACCTAGACTCAATTGATCCTCCTGCCTCAGCCCACCAAGTAGCCCTACTACAGGTGTGTGCCACTGTACCTGGCCTTGTAAATGTATTTTTTTTTCCAAGAGTTGCCCCACAATTTTACTTCTCACTCAAAACTTTAAAAAAATCACTACATTAAGGAATATATTCTCAATTTTTTAAAACTGCAAAACATATATGATACATTTTGGTTATTTTTTATTCTTTAAAATTGTAATTTTTATTAGGACATGTGTGGTACATAACTAATCATTGTGGGGAATGGGCACCATAAATACATTTTAATTCTTTTTTTCACCCCCCTTCTTCCTCCCTCCATGTCTCCGTCCCCTTCCCTTTTCCAAAAGAGATAACTCTCTATTTCTATTAACTTTTTTTTTGCTTTTCAGTTTTATTTTGGTTTTCTCATATGAGGAAAACCATGTGGTATTTAAGCTCATGTGTTTGATTTATTTCACTTAACATTATGGTCTGATGGTGCACCAATCTTCCTACAAATGCCTAAAACGTATCCTTCTTCATGGCAGAGAAGTATCCCTTATGTATAAATACCACATTTTCTTTATCCAGTCATTGGTTGACAGACACACAGGCCACTTCCGAGATTTAGCTATTATGAGCTGTGCTGCTATAAGCATGGGTGTGCATGTGTCACTGTGCTTATTACTTTTTTTTTTAAATTTTAAAGAGTAAAAGAAGGATAACATAATAATAGGAGGGACTTAGCAAATTACAGACAAAATGGTAGGAAATTATCAATGGTTATCGTTTTACATATTA